CCCCAAAACCCCAAAACCCCAAAACCCCAAAAGCTAGCTACCTAAATTCTAAAAACTTATATAAGAATATTGTATAATATTTCGACTTATATAAATAAATATCAATGCAATATCTATCTCAGGAGCAAATAGCCCCAATAAAGGCTTAGCTTTAATTGAAGATGCAGAATTAGTATGAATTATCACCTAATCAGAAGTTTAAGCTTCCTCAAATATCTAACAAACTAAACATGCATCAAGACAGATAGACTAATAGATCTTATGATAGAGCTGAGAGAAATCTAAGTAATATGCAAACAAGCACAGCAGCTGGTACTAATCAATACTCACAGCAAAATAAATACATGTCTAATGGTGTAAGCACAAATAGCATCCTTCATTAATCCAGGATTGAAAGTCACAGCATAGGCGGCATTGATAATATTCACATAAAATTCAGTAAGAGCATTTAGCAGCAATATAGGCCTGACCCAGGTGCAATAAAGAAACCTGAGAAAATGTTGAATCAGTCATCTTAGGAAAGACTCGATCAATTGGTAACTAATCAAAGTGCACTAAGTGGATTTGCCTCAAATAGATATCATGCACCCTCTCTAAATATTATTGCTGAAAAATCTATGAGAAAACAATAAACCACATAAACTCAATCACCTAGAGATGGTAAGGAAGGGGAGAGAAGTTTATTCACTTCCAAGCTTAGCTAATTGACAGAAAAGACCGGCGTGGAATACGTATTCCCAGCTGTTTCCCCTGTAACTGGTATAAATCTTGCAGCAATACTTTAGAAGCATCAGTTGATAGAGAGGTAAATTAAGCAGCGCAGACATGAAAAGCAAACACAATCTTTTTTCAAAGCTAAAAGAAAAGCGAATCATGATTCCGAAGAAGAAGAAGATGACGACGAAAACTAAAATGGGTTTCTAATAACTGCTACTAAAACTAACTTCAACAAGAGATAAAAGAGGGCAAAGGTGCTTGGGTCCAAGAAATCTGATAGATCAGTGAATTTATTCTCTTAAGGGAAATAAAATTCTTCATCAAATCATTCATCATATTCAAGATCTCCATCTTCAACTGAGTCAGATGAGGAAGGAACATAGAATCTAAATAAAAGGATATATACACCCTTTAAATCTAAGAGAACTGGGGAGTCAGCCCTGATGAACTATTAAAATCTATGCTCTTAAGGCAATCGCATTGTTGAGAAGCACGATCTCTAAGGCAAACAAGTCAAGAGTCCACTTTTGACTTATCTTAATGAAATTGATAGGAGTAAAGTATCTCCCAAAGGATTTGGGTTAGTTCATAGGAAAAAGAAAGACGAGATAAACATTGGCTCGTTTTATTTGAATGATCAGTATATTGAAGCATTTTCTAAGGGTATTAGTAAGTCTAAGCATGTGAGTAAATTAAACTTATCTCGTAACCAGCTTACCACTAATAGACTTATAAAAATCATACAGATGATCCCAAAGACTTTAAAGGAACTAAATCTGAGTAATAATCCTGGAGTAACCATTGAAGCCTACCAAACAATTTGTGAGGTCATCATTGAGAACAATTAGTTTAAACTTGAAAGATTGATTTTAGAGGGATGCAGAATTAATGATCCAATAGCATCTATTTTAGCTAGAGCTATTGAGTATAATCAGACCTTGCGCTTTCTAGATCTAAGCAAGAATGAAATAAGAGAGACTGGAGCTAAAGATTTAGCTTAGATGATAGTAAATAATGCTAGTCTTGCTGTTCTATTCTTGCATTGGAATAAGCTATAAAGCAAAGGGGGATCATACATTGCTAAAGCAATGTCTAAAAATCAAAATATTCAGATCCTTGACATGTCTTTCTGCTCGCTTGGAAGCAGCAGAGAAAATTCTGAGAATGTTCTATAGATGTAGATATAGCAGTTGAAGTAGCTTAAGGCTAGTATAGATACTGGGGCAAATGGCTAGCAATCTCAGATGAAGACTTCACCTCGATAAAATATATAGATTAATTTGGCTCAAGCTTAAGATTGGAAGGACTTCTTTGTGAGCAACAACAAACTAGTGCATCTCGATCTATCCTAGAACGGGTTTTGCAAGCAAGAGGTTGAGATTATGGGTAAGACTATTGAACTTAATTTATATTAGGAGAGGGATTAAAAGAAAATCACACTATTTTAGGCATTCATATGCTTGGGAATGAGGCAATTACAGACGCCTTTGGTTTTGTGATTCCATCAGGCGATAAATCCTACGATGAATCCAAGAATCACGTCTTCACAAGAATTAAACGTAAAATATTTCAAATCTTAAAATACTTAGCATCTCTTGAAACAGGCCAGATAAAAAATAAAGGTTTAATTAAGTTGAAAGCCTCATCAAACTGCTGGATATGCGAGGGATGGACAGAGTTCAAGTTTACCTTCAAGACTAGAGAAGAAATAGACTTGCAAACCGTGCCAGTGCAGCTGCATCTCTCATCAGATTCCTATGCAGGAGAGTTACTTGAAAGAGATCCTTTAGAAACTGATGGATACCTCTTCGTTACAACAAGAATGGTTCCTCCTGGGGAAGTAACTTACTACTTCTCAGTAGGTGGTGTGCAGCAGATAAATGACGAGTAAAGTGCAGTTAGCTCCCATTATGCTGAGAAATCAAGAAAGCTTCATAAACTAAACGTGCCTAGGACTAACATCATTGAGAATGTTATTCAAACTCAGCAGCTAATCACCTAGACTTACTTGACTGATATGCGATGCGTGCCCAGACCGCCCCCTAAAAACCTCAAGGGAAGGGAAAAACTCAAGACTCCTTGGGATTTCTTTAAGTCAGTTTTCAGGGATTACAGACCTGACACAGATGCCCTTCTGGATGAGTGTTTCGAATTCGACTGGTCCTCTTCTAAAATAGAAAAGATCGTCAAAGGAGAAGATGAAATCGCTAAGTGCAAGGCTTATTTACGAACTGTATACAAATATGTGTAAGTTGCTTCAAGCATTCTCTATAATATTTTATAGTCGAGAAACATATAAGTTCTACTCAGCTGTAGATCCAGTGGCTAATATATGCTCAATCGGTACTAACATCTATACTGAGATCATCAACAACTGCAGGGATTTCATTGATGGTAAAACCTTTAAGATCAGTGACTTGGATTTGGAATTTGTGGCAACTAACTCTGGAGTGAAGAAGCATAACCCTAGAAACCCTGAACGCTAGCTTATCAGATATCAATTTCTAGAAGTCCTTGTCAGACTTGCCATAGATAAGTTCATTAAGAGTGGCTAAACCAAATCTTATTTTGAAGCTTTGAACATGGCTTATGAAAATCACTTCCTAAGTTTGTTCAAGACGTTTGACTGTCATAATTTCAGACGAGAAAGACTGTGGAATGAAGAGTGCGATGTCACTCTAAGACGTTTGCTAAAGATTATTCAAGCTTTATATTAAAAGTTCTCAGGTAAATACGCTCTACCTGGCCAGTAGAAATTCATGTCTTTAGATGAGTTTGTGGAGATGGTCACAACCTCTGGTGTGGTAGATGATAGTTTCGGCAGCAGAGAAATAGGCCCCCTCTTTAATCTGTCTATGATGACTCAGAAGAATGAACTGGACTATGATCGTCACTTAAACATGACTATGCCTGAATTTATCGAAGCTATTGGTAGAGTTGCTGATAAATTGACTTAGCTACCCGATTTCTACCCTGAGAACACGACCTAGAACAAGTATAAACTGGATAAGAAAATTGAAAGTTTCGTTATTGTACTCTGCAGGAATACTTTGCCCAAGTCCACTGCAGATATTCTCGATAAGCAGTATAAAATTGCGATTGAAGCTGAGCTGTCTTAGCCTAAGAGAACGAAGTTTTAGGTGTCAAACAGAAAGTATTGAATGGAAATAATAAATAACGAATAACGGAAGCAAATATCACTTGTAGATGATTTATGGTTATTATGGAAATTGAATTAATATTTAATCAAGCAATTAACTTAATTGCCTTATTTTTAATTTTAAAGGGTTTTGGGGTTTTGGGGTTTTGGGG